CACGGTTCTAACCCCTGTTCTTTAACTGATTTAACACATTGGACACACCTACCGCCTTTATCTTTCCTTCTTTATTTGTTTTTCCCACGTAAGGTCAAACGTTCCTTCACCATTCGTCAAACCTTCCTGCTGCTTCTCAACTCTTCTTCCTTTTTCTGTCGATCACTTCTTCAGGTTTGTTTCTGTTCTTCGTTGTGTATTGTGTGTTTTTCGTTTCCTCTTTGCATCATGGCTCTTCCTTCCACTTCCCGTTTGGAATTCCGACAAGGGGTTTCGTCGTCGGCTTTACCTGCTTCTAAACGGGGACATTCTCCTCGCCTGGCTATGTTTCCTACGGTTAATTTGCCCTCGCCTTTGCCTGTTTATGATGACTTGGGTGATTCAACTTTCATCTGTCAATTTTGTTCCGCCTTTTTCTGGTATGCTGAAAGGGTTTTGTATTTGTCAGAAAAGGATCGTCCCTGTTATACGCGATGTTGCAGGTCTGGTGTTGTTATATTGCCTTACCCTCTTCTTCCTCCTCCACAATTATCTTCTTTGTATAGTTGTGCTTCTTTTAGGCAGAATATCAGAGCTTACAATAGCATGTTTTCTATGACATCTTTTGGGGCTGTGGTTGATGACGATATTAACAGAGGTGGAGGCCCTTATGTGTTTAAGGTATCTGGTCAGCTGTCACATTCTATAGGTTCTTTTTGCCCTAATGATGCTAAGCCTCCGAGGTTTTTGCAGTTATATATGGTAGACACGCAGCATGAGTTGTCTAATAGGCTGGCAGCTTTCCAGGACCCTACGAAGCAACCTTTGGATCCAGGAATTGTTGAGTTATTAATGGCTATACTTACACTACATAACGAATATGTACGTACCTTTAAAACAGTGAAACAAATTGCTGAAGAAAGAAATTTAGATGAATATGTGGTTTGTATTTTCAATGATGTTCCGGATAGACGCTACACTCCTCCCGCGCCTGGTACTTTGGGATGCATTGTTTTTGGTGACGACTGTGTCAGTAGTAGATACGATATACTTATACATTCTAAGGGTGGTCAGGCACAGCGGGTTAGTAACCTCCATCCAAGTTACATGCCACTGCAATACCCTCTGCTTTTCCCGTATGGTGAGGACGGGTGGTCACCTAGGCTGAAACTTTTCAATGAATCGGGTTCCAAAGCTAGAAACTTAACAGTGAACATGTACTATAGTTATCAGATACACGCACGTTGTAATATACACTCTCTTATACTTAATTCATGTAGATTGTTTCAACAGTTTTTAGTTGATGCTTATACATGTATCGAACAGTCTCGTCTTGAATTCTATCAAAATAATCAGGAACATCTTAGATCTGATTTCATCAGTGGGATCTATGATGCACTTTCTAACGGAGATACAGAAAGCCGTTCTGTTGGTAGACGTGTGCTTTTGCCCCCTTCTTTTGTCGGTGGCCCCCGATACATGTACAGCCACTATCAAGATGCCCTCTCCATTTGTAGAGAACATGGGAATCCACAATATTTTATCACCTTTACATGCAATGTGAAGTGGCCAGAAATTAGACGATACATGTTGCTCCATAATCAAAACGATGTACATAGTAGAGCCGATATCATTTCACGTGTTTTCCACATGAAAGTAAAGACCTTTATAAGATTTCTTAAAGAAGACAAAACATTTGGACCTGTAGTAGCACGTAAGTCGTATATATTAATTCTTAGTTAAATATATATACATTATTTTTGTCTCTTTCATTTCTAGGTTACTTCACAATAATTTTAAACGACTTTTTTTTGTAGACCTGTACACAATTGAATTCCAAAAGCGGGGCTTACCTCATTGTCATACGCTGTTGTGGGTTGCTGCATCACATAAAATACAAGAGCCTTCTGACATTGATGCATTTGTTACTGCTGAACTGCCAGATCCATCATCAGAACCATTATTATACCACACCATTACAACGTGTATGATCCATGGTCCATGTGGTTTGCTAAATGTAAATGCTCCATGTATGAAAGATGACAAATGTAAGAAAAAATTTCCAAAACCATTCCAACACTGTACAGCCTTTGACAAAGAGGGTTATGCACATTATAAGAGAGATTGTGTGGCACACCATACACTACAGAATGGAAATCCAGGTAGATAATAGATATGTTGTCCCATACAATAAAAGGTTATGCAGTCGTTTTGACGCTCATATTAATGTGGAGTACTGTGGTTGGAATATGATGATAAAATATTTGTTCAAATATGTTTCCAAAGGAATGGAGCGGGTGAGGTTTGTTGTTCAGAAAAATGTGTTGGTTGGTCAACCTACCACCTCTTCACAACACATTGTCGTCGACGAAATACGAAATTTTGTTGACGGTCGTTACCTTTGCCCTCACGAGGCTGCCTGGCGTATTTTTGATTTTCCCATTCATGAGCGCGAACCATCAGTCACGATACTCCCAGTTCATCTCCCAGATAAGCAGACAGTTTACTTCAAAGAAAACACTCTCATCCATGATGTTGTTCAACATCCAGATTTCGGTTACAGTCTACTATTAGGATGGTTTGAAAATAATAAGTGGGAATCATTAGGAACAAATCTCACTTATGTTGCGTTTCCCACAAAGTATTGGTGGGATAAGGATGCAAAAATCTGGAAACGAAGAAAACGTATGACAAGCAGTGCGATAGGTAGACTTATATTTGTGCACCCTTCTGCAGGGGAATTGTTCTATCTACGAATGTTGCTTTGTCATCAGGTTGGTTGCACATCCTATGAGGATATCCGTACCGTTTGCAACAAGGTCTATCCAAATTTTCGTGCTGCATGTGATGCATTGGGCCTGATTGGAGAAGACAAAGAATGGATGACCGCATTTACTGAAGCATCTGAGTGGGCAAATTCATTCCAACTAAGATCACTTTTCTGTCGTTTGCTTCTTCACTGTGACGTTAGCGATCCTATGTCCCTGTGGGAAATTGGATGGAGAAAAATGAGTGACGACTTACTGTACAATATCAATTCACAGAAATTTGGATCAAATTTACATATAGGTGATGCTCATTTACAACAATTGGTTCTGTTTGAGCTGGAAGGAATTCTTCAGTCCTCGACTCCTTCGAAATCGGTCACTGACTTCCATCTGCCAAAACCAACGGAAGAGACAATTAGACTACTGTAAAATCGACTGATTCTAGAAGAGACATCATATGACACAGACACACTCAAAGTAGACCACCAACGCATGCTATCACAATTAAATAGTGAACAACTCCACATTTATAAGTTGGTTGTCTCGTCTGAAAAAGACGGACAACAGGTTCTCCTGTTCATTTACGGACATGGCGGGACAGGCAAGACATTTATTTGGACTACATTACTTGCATACTTCCGCTCTATTGGGAAGATCGCACTTGCTGTGGCTGCATCGGGCATAGCATCATTGTTGCTACCATCGGGTAGAACTGCTCATTCCAGATTTAGTATACCGATTGACCTTTCGCAAAAAGACGCATGCAACATTTCAAAGAAAACCCTACTTGCAGAGTTATTGAAACGTACGTCTATCATTATCTGGGATGAGGCCCCAATGAATGATAGGCGTTGTTTCGAATGCCTGGACCGTTCCTTAAGAGATATTCTAGATTGTGATACTAAGGTGTTTGGTGGAATGTCCGTACTGTTAGGAGGGGATTTTCGTCAAACATTACCTGTTTCCCCAAAAAGTACAATCTCACATATCATTAGTTTGACTTTACCCAAATCATACCTATGGCCATGTTTTACAGTTTATAAGTTAAACCATAATATGCGTCTAATGAGTACGGGCACCTATTCAGAATCAGAGCTATCTGTATCAGAATTTGCAGCATGGTTACTAAACGTTGGGGATGGTGTTTTAGGAGAATCAGATCCTATTGATAAAAAAGACACAAAATGGATTGAAATACCCTCTTCCCTCACTATACTACCAGGAGAAAATGCATTGAAAAATCTTATAAATTTTGTATATGGTGACGGGATTCTTCTCAATCCTTCTCCATCTGTATTGGCAGGTAGGGCGATTGTATGTCCAAAGAATGATACGGCGAACATAATAAACGAGCTCGTCCTAGAACTTACCCCTAACAAGACAACATCTTATAGAAGTGTTGACACAATAGAATCTAATGGAAACCAATCTTTAGAATTTAACACTTTCTATCCAGTCGAATACCTGAACGGGCTCACCTTTCCTGCTATCCCACCCCACAAACTATCACTGAAAAATAACACTCCTATTATGCTAATAAGAAATATCAACCAAAGAGAAGGTTTATGCAACGGTACACGGTTAATTGTTACACAGTTATTGCCAAACGTGATACAGGCAACAATAATTACTGGCACATCCATCGGAAAACAAGTGTACCTGCCCCGGATAAAATTTATACACAAAAGCCCTGAAATCCCTTTTACCTTCATTAGAAAGCAATTCCCAGTCAGGGTTTGTTATGCCATGACAATTAACAAAAGCCAGGGTCAATCACTATCTAAAATCGGAGTTTTTTTGCCGGAACCAGTTTTCACACATGGACAACTTTATGTTGCCCTCTCTCGTGCTACATCTCCACAGTCTATTAAAGTACTGATACAATCTAATGTTGGTGGTGCACATAGCAAAACAAAAAATGTTGTCTTTAAAGATTTCTTGCGCACAATTACTATTTGTGAGGTCGAATGCATATCCATCTTTTGTAAACATAAATCATCTTACATCAGACTCTTGCTGCCTTTCTGTATTACAATAACCAGCAAAATATGAATATATTTTCTTATGTAACAAATTGCAATCCCTGCCTGTCTTCCGAGTCTTGTATCATATTGATGTTCTACAAACATATATTATAATACATCACATCTTTATTGATTGATCATATCATAGTACATCTGTAAACATATACAATTTTCCTTGCAGAAAAACATCTAACATCCAGTTTTTTTTCTCAAACCTTGTGTCAGCCACATGTCTGAAATATTCACTGCAATCTCAGAGCTGGGGTATGCATCTCCGGGAACAGCACTGCAGGTACGCATTCTCCGTACATGGACGCCACAGGTCCGAGGTCATGAAACCTGGTTTTTAGCGGTCGACAAATATGTAAGTTTCTGAACCATCTTATTAATATTCATCCATTCCATTCATAAACTCACTTCCACGTGCTTCCTACTAATATATCAGGGTGATGCAATCCAAATTCTTGGTCAAAGAAAGGATCAAGGCTTTGTACAATCTGCTCTTGCTATTTCTAAATGCTACACGTTGACTAAATATGGATGTGGAGAACCAGACGCATACCAGAAATGGTTACACAATCCAGTATACATCGCTGTTGGCACCGCGTCCTGTATTACCTCTATCCCAGACACAGTTACTATTCCAACACACTGGTTTAACTTCATACCAAAAAGCCAAATACCAGCTTATATCAACCAATACCCAAGTATTATATTACATAAATGGACCACAAAATATTGACATAACAATACATGTTCTTTTACAAACTACTTTCAATATTAATATGTTGTACATACCTCTTACACAACACGTATGTAACATATTAGTTGTCATTCATTGTGCAGATTTCTTAGGAGTTTAAGTTAAACTGGTGGCCTGTATTAAGAAAAACGATGAACCTTACCTGCTCCTCATTCTAAGGAATGAATTGTAAGTGTTGCACCTTTTGAAAATATACATATATACTAATTACCATACTTAAAACATGCAATCAACAGTGGTGAAGATATTGCGATAAGCTTGTGGAAAGAATGCACTGACGCACCTTCAAAATTTAATCGGAACGCAATTCAGAATGCACCTGCTCCTACTGTCATTGCTGTCACAAACGTCCGAATCATGGATTATGGTGGTACGTTTGATGAAAAACCAATGTGTATTATTACTGATACAACTACCAATAAAAGAATCTAAAATAATCACAAAAACTTCATTTCAAGGTTCATTAAGATTAGGAACTAGTAGTGCAACCCACATATACGTAAACCCACCTATCAAAGAAACAGATACACTTCTGGACAGGTACCGTTCTAAAAACAATATATTATAATCATGTTTATGTCTATACTAACAGTCTCTAAAATTCACAGCTACAAGATAAATGCTGCTTCAATACCTCTGTTTGGACTTCCAGTGCCACTTACAGAGATAAATGAGAAAAAACATTCAGATCTCTTGGTACACTTCTACTCTGTCAAAGTTATATCCACCTTCCCTTTATCAATATTATCATATATATTATAGATTTTGATTCTTTAACAGGAAAAAACTTTTACAACAGAGGCATCCATAATAGAGTACGTTTTTTCAGATTATTGGTACCAAGTTTTCTGTCCACAGTGTAAGATATCAACACTAAAACAAGGAAAGGACTGGTTCTGTCCATCACACGGAACGATCACCTCTCCAACTCCCATGTAAGTCACAACACCCTCAAAACAAAAATTGAAATATATAAACAAATTCTATGAACTCATATCATTCATGCACATAGGTACAAGCTTATGGCAACAATTACGGACCCAACTTCCTCAATGACGGTTACCTTATCTGACAACGCTAGCCAGAAAATATTTGGAACAACAGCAGATAAACTCATACTAGAAGGCGACCCAAACCATAGGAAAAAATTGCCCAACATTATAAAAGAGACTGAAGGTATCACAAAAAAGATGAAATTAAGGATCACAAACACGTCAACTGAAAGGAACATCCGTTTCATAATAACTGATATCGAAGACAACTCTTCTCAATCATCATCAATAACAACCCCACCTTCAGAAAATACATCCTCCTCTAATGTTCCTCATAAAACACCTACGTGTTCATCCGCACAAAATCAACCCAAAGTCAAGAGGGCATTAAATTTTGAAAATACAGGTAATACTCATTACACATTAAACAAGTATACCAAAAAAAACAACTGATTGTTAACATTACATCACAGGTATGGACAAATCTGATGCAGGCCCGAAACGAGCACGTTGGTCGCAATAAAGACAATGGCTTTGTGTACCAGTTCTATATTCCTAACCCTTTGTTTATCTCCACTTCTTATTACCTCTGTAGTACCAACCCTTTTACTACTATTCCTACTAACTTAAAAACCATATCATATTTTGCGTATGTAATGTAACCTTATAAAATTACCATGAATATATCAACAGTGTTTACTAGCAGTGCTTACTGAGTCCTATAAAATATTAGATTATTAAAAAAAATCACAACATTTATGTTACTCATAAAACAAATTACAACATTACACATGTACTATTCCTTTACAAAATTACCTGCTTCTTAATTTCGAATATTCAATCAGCAACTTCAATCTTTCGGTGAGTTTCTCATGATTATATATGATTGCTTCTCAATGTTTGTGTTAATCGTATAAGTGAAATTTTTTTTCTTCTTCTGCGACTTCAATTTTGCTTCTCATTGAATTTGTTAGTCAAGGTTTCTATTTATCTTTGATTCAGAAGTTGTTTATTAATTATTTTCTATCTTAAATTCTTTATTCGATCCACTCAATTGATCATCAATGTGTATGTGTATGTGTAAAAATAAGCTTCTCTTACGTATGTCTGTGTGTATCTCTTTAAAAATTCTGCAATTTCATCATTTTATGACCCCCATTTGCGAAGTTGAGTATTTATTTCCAAAAATGCGAAACTCCAGGGACAATATTTGAAAATTTCTGTTTTCTTCCCCAATTCGCATTCTACTGTGAAATACTTCGCATCTTCATTCTTACACCCTTCGCATCCATTCGCATTAATCACCTTCGCATTTTAACCTAATTAATCAAATGCAAACCACAAAATTTTCATTCCAGATGCGAACACAGTTTAGTTCTTGAACTCTAAACTTGCGAAATCAAAAATTCATTTGTTGAACCCATATGCGAATATTAACCCAATTGACTTCAAATTGATTCACAGATATAAACACTCGATTGTTTTACTTTCGCAAAATGAACATCAACAACTCCACAATCGAGTTTTTAAATTCTTGCAAACAACAATTTCACAGTCCTTGACTTCGCGTTTTTCTTCACGAATCATCCGTCAATCATCAATCCAATTGCGAATCAAAACTCATATGTTCTTGCTTTATCGATTCATCGACTACACTCATACAAATGCGAACAATACTCAATTTCAAAATCGATTGAAACTTATAGCAAAGCTAAATCCAACTTCGCATTCAAAGCAGTGTTATTGATTGCATTCATGAAATACTAACAAGATAATATATTATAATACAAATATACATATTTTAGGTGGTGAAATCGTAACAGCCTAACAATTTGGTATGCAACTTTATTAAATGAATAAAAAAAGTTATGCAAATTGGAAAAATAAATAAAAATATATCTTTTGTTGTTTTAATTAAGGAAATAAATATTTTATATGAATACTCACCTGGAAAAACGCATATTATAATTGTCTAATTTAATCGTAACAGCCTACCAATGTAGTTTCTTCTTGACTGTTTGATTGTTTTTTTCTGTGTGCTGATTATAATTGTCTAATTTAATGTAATTTTTTTTTTTTAACTTGCAAGGTACAATGGAACATATTACTCCTATAAAGGAAATTGACTCAATCAAGGACGATTTCACAATTAAAGTTCGGATCATACGTCTTTGGACTCAAAAGTCAAGAACAATGTCTTATAATTCTCTATATCCCATTTTTAGTAATTTATTCTCAAAGAACAATGCTATAATTTGTAATTTATCATCTTTTAGTTTAATTTTCTAAATATATGTGTGGTTGTCTATGTGTGTGTATCTCTTTAAAAATTCTGCAATTTCATCATTTTATGACCCCCATTTGCGAAGTTGAGTATTTATTTCCAAAAATGCGAAACTCCAGGGACAATATTTGAAAATTTCTGTTTTCTTCCCCAATTCGCATTCTACTGTGAAATACTTCGCATCTTCATTCTTACACCCTTCGCATCCCTTCGCATTAATCACCTTCGCATTTTAACCTAATTAATCAAATGCGAACCACCAAATTTTCATTCCAGATGCGAACACAGTTTAGTTCTTGAACTCTAAACTTGCGAAATCAAAAATTCATATGTTGAACCCATATGCGAATATTAACCCAATTGACTTCAAATTGATTCACAGATGCAAACACTCGATTGTTTTACTTTCGCAAAATGAGCATCAACAACTCCACAATCGAGTTTTTAAATTCTTGCAAACAACAATTTCACAGTCCTTGACTTCGCGTTTTTCTTCACGAATCATCCCTCAATCATCAATCCAATTGCGAATCAAAACTCATATGTTCTTGCTTTATCGATTCATCGACTACACTCATACAAATGCGAACAATACTCAATTTCAAAATCGATTGAAACTACTGGTCCCAAAAAACCTACTATTAAAAAAAAAAATAAGAACAACATCCGATACTACGTAAACAACTCTCTACTACCATTATATATACATTACTATAAAAAAACTCAACTTCAACCCCAATAGTGTTAATAACAAATATTTTAATCATATACACACCTACACAAATATAGGCTGCATTACTAATACCACCAAAACAGGCCACCTCACACCCTAAATACAATTGCATGCAATGACTTATCTAACCTACTATAACAGCAATGCCACCCACAGAAATTTAGATACACACACGTCATTGATTAACGACACCCATAACATCCCTCCCCCCCTCTTCACTCTTTTCATAAATTCTATAAAAAACCAACAACTGAAACACGTACAATAGGCATATTAAAAGATGAACAACCAACAATTCCACCACGTGCTCCTCTCACTCATTGCTTACATTCGAGAAGTAGCAGATCTTATTGAAGCAGCTCAGACGAAATTACAAGAAGGCTTCACCATGGATGAAACCTCTCACACCTGTCTCTCGACAGATGGTGACAACCCCATCTCCAGAATCCTGAAAACAATCCTGCAAGATACCAAAGAGGAGGACCAGTCCATGGAAGACAACATCTCCTTCATGCTTGGATCAATTCATAAACGAATTGGAAAATACAAACGCACAATCAAAGATACAACTGATGACTAAACGATGGCATTGTCTTTATGTTTCCCTATGTTTATTTCCTTTACGTTTATGTTGCGTTCATTCCTATCCTTTAGTGTTATCATGTAAAATACCTTCCATATGGGTATATAAATAAATATTATATTACAAACCAACGTACCTTACATAAGCAGTTAACCCACAACCCTCCAATCCACATAACGTCAAACTATCCATTGACAATTTCCACATAAATATTTATCATCATTTAAATGCAACACAGCGCCAAAGGCGCACACTTGATTCCTGCTAGTTATGGATTAAAGGAAATACCTCCTGCTTGCTTGCTTGACATAGTGAGTCAAATGGAAAACTCAAAATTTTAAACAAATTCTCTAATAATGAAACATTTAGAAATTGATCAACAAACTCTCTAATTTTAAACTGGTATATCCATATTCATATATCATATATGTATACAAATTACATAGAACCAAAGATCTCGAATTCTAAAATCGGATTTTCTTCAAAAAAAAAATTTTAATATTATTATTTTCTTGGTTCAACATTTAGTCAATCATCTATACTGGATACAATAATGGTGTATTATACTCCTAAAGCATAAAAATCTGAAAAAAAAAAATATTGTTGTTCTTACTTCTTACAATCGACAATCGTGAATCGTCAAATTTCAATCTAAAATCAGAGAATGGACTGAGCCGGAAAAATCGATAAGTTGTTGGCAGTGTTTCAAATCATTCAGTTAATCTGTTATCAAGAATCGATATTTGTGACATCCCCAAAATCTCGGTCAGAAAAGACCGATTTCATTTATACTTTTTAAAATAATTTCATAGTAAATCCTTTTGATTTAAAAGAGTTACGGAATTTGTTCCCAAAAACAAAATATGATAAAATAATATTTATCAAAGCATTTCATCAAGAGATGCATTTTTATTATATAATCAAAAACTCGGGATGTCATGTTCCGATACAGACCATAAAACATAAATGATAACATTACAAGTCATTCAACAAATATATACATATGCACACTTGTAAACAAAACAACATGATGATTCATCCATATGCCCTCGCGCCACTACCTGTAATACAAATAAACTGAGTGGGTCAGGCTTGCGAGCCTGGTGAGCATATAGGGTTTTCAACCCACAATAAATAATTATATTTAATTTCACCAACCAACAATAACCCGATTACCGATTCCCGTTATCCTCACTTTATGTTCCTAAAACAACATCTATCTCGAGGGACTTAATCTAGGATTTTCATCTGGATGGACATTACTGCTAAGGGGTTTCCTCAACAATAGATATCCTAAAGGCAACCATGAGGGGGGATAGAGTACACTAGTGAGCACATCGTTTACAACACCTACAGGTTATGAACCTGCTAGCGTTCCACTGGACTGTCTAGAAAGAGTCCGTGGTCATCATCCATACTCTGCTAGATGACTAGGTCAACATCAACAACATCGAAGCCTCTCATCTGTTTATCACACATCAACTATCTACCCATGTTCTACCTAACATATTAGTCGATAAAAATATATATTTCATACATAGTTTAAAACCAGTATAGCATGTTCAATCAATACATATTCCATATAACAGATGAGGCACACACACACATAATACGTATTTCATAGAGAATAAATCAGATCTATGAGATAGAAGAAAGTGAATATACATTCACACTTATAACAACAAAATATACACATAACACGTATTTTATATAAAATACTTCATAATTATGCGTTAGAAGAAAGTAACTACACACTCACTTGATCAGAAGATGATTGGACAGCACTACGACTTGCAGAAGTAGTATTCTTCGGTAGATCTGGAAGATCTTCACAAAAACCGGGCTTCTCGCGGGTAGAGCTTCGGCTCGGGAATTACACTTCTCGGGATCTTCGGGGCTTCGGGGATCAGGAATGATACCGGG